GTCTCCTCGCTCTGGGGCCAGCGGTCTCTCCTAACCCAGAGTAGCCACGGCCGCGACAGCACATACTCCCCCTGTGGCTGATAGGGTCCCCCACACAGACCCGGACGTAGGCAGAAAGGGAAGGCCGACCCACTGAGGCTCTTGGGTCTGGGGGCTCCATGCAGGGGCCCCGCTCAGGTGACTCCTGCCCCCTCCATGCCCAGCCCACAGACCGGGGGTGGGTGCCCGGGAGTCCCTGACACCACGTTGGGGTGGCACTTGGGGCCAACCGGGCTCCCTGACCCCACTGCCCTTTCTAGGCAGTAAAGACGCCCCGCTTCCACAAATGCTCACAGACCTTCCTCTGAGCCAAGACTCATCAGTGCGGCACGCCCGGCTTTTGGGCGATAAGGAGGGTCCCTCCGTGCCCGCAAATCTGCCCACACCTGTCCTGGGCTGTGGGAGGCAGGTCACAGGCCTGTGTGGGCTGCGTGCACCTCCCCAGCTTCTTCCACTCGTCCAGTGGCCTGGGGTACTCGTCAGACCCGGGTCCTGGCCAAGGGGCGGCCGCGCAATCCTCGCGTGGGGCTGTGGTGCTGTGGGACTCCCCTGCCCACCTTGGGCCAGCACCCATCACCGTCTTATCCTGTCAGCAGTGACCCAGAGGGGAGCTGGGACTACAAGCACTTTCCCGGGGGGCGGAGTGTGGTGTCGCTGACTTCCCACCCACCCTGGAGGGGAGCGTGGAGCTGGCTGGCACCGGGACCACATGGCAGAGACGGCACCCAGTGCCACGGGGCCCAGGACCTACATCATGTCATGGCTCCACAGCTCCCTGCCCCTGGGACCCACTCGACAGCGGTGAGAACTGAGACCAGAGACAGGGCTAGCCTGCCTGGGGCCACCCACACCAACTGGGGCCTTGGCGAGGACACCCTCCCATCAGGCGGCTCGGGCGAACGGGGGGAGAGGGGTCAGGTGGGGGACACACAGGGCCAGGCCGTGCCCGAGGAAGACAGGGCATTCCCGAGATTCACTGGGAGGAAGGCAGAGACAGGCTGAGAACCCCAGCACGGCCAAGGGAGGGGTCGCAAGGTGCGGGTACGGGAAACAGCTGGCTGGGGCGAGGCCGGTCCGGCCACCACGGGTCAGGCACCCTCCTCTCAGGCTGCAGTCTCCTCGCTGGGAGATGAAGGTCAAGGTCTGAGGGGTGGAGGGGGTGGTGGCTCCACTGAGGCACCCGAACGCAGTCCCAGCCCCCCGGGCAAGAATGACCCCTCCTGTCAGAGGGCGAGGGAAACACTGCTCCTAATTTAGGATTGTTGCAGGTAAGAACCACCTGGAGACCCTTCACATCTGGGGGCCTGAGAACCTCACAGAAATTGCACATGAAGCTTCGTGTCCATATTGGCTTATGTAGATCTGGAGGGAGCAGGTTCATGGCTTTCCCACACCTCCAAAGGGGCGTGCAGCCTAATCAGAACGCGCCGTCCGTCTGTAACCCATGGCGGGTGGGGCTCTTGAAGGGGGAGGGAGACACCAGGTCCCTGCCCCTGCAGGTGCACACAGGTGCGGCCCAACGCCCCACACCATGACCCCGGACCCAGCTGGCTGCCCGCTACCTCGGCCCCAAACCACAGCTGGCCCGCCAGGCTGTCATGCCGGATCTCCTCGGGGAACTTGACGCAGAAATCCCGTGGGGCTCGGTCCTGGGGGATGCACACATCCATGATCTGGTTAATGATGTTTAACACGTTGTCCTGAATCAGAAACAGAGAAAGGGCGCTAAGACACAGCCCCAGCTGGTGGCCGTCAGGTACTGCTTGAAAAATATGAAAAACACATACAGTGCGGTTTCCTGTTCTTTGAGATCATGAGGGTGATATGGCAATGGATCCCTGCTTGCTCTGCAATTGCTACAAAAAGTTCGCATGGTCCGGAAGCACCCAGAGTGAAGTCCCGCTCCCCCTTGCCCACGCCCCTTCCTCACACTCATGTAGCCAGAGCGCGGGCAGTGCTGTGCCTATTACTCTGTGATCTCCTCTGCTCACCGCGGGCCTGGGGGAGCCTCCCACGTCACCACGTAGATTTTTCCTCGCCCTTTGTACCGGCCGCTGGCCGTATGTCTTTGTCTTCCCCTGCTGACCCACGCCCACTCCCTGCAGCCGAGGCCACGAGGACTGTCCCTGAACACCTCTCTCGCAACACCTGTACATGAATTTCCTACGACAGAGCCGGAGAAATGGCACTGCTAGGTGGACAGGTACACAAAAAGTTCACTTTGAACCGCCACAAGCCTGTGTCATCCTGGGTCTGTTTGCAATACAGACAAGCTCTGCTGTCCGGGAGTAAGGCCACCGAGGGACAGTATGTAAAACCAGGCTTCTCAAACCCGCCACAGAGGACTCCAAGGCCTGTCCTGTGTGAGGGCCTCCCCCTGCACCAGTGACCACAGGGGCCGGGGCATCTGGCAGACTCAGCAACCAGGGCTGGGGGCAAAGCCACTGTCCTCTCTGAACCTCAGTTGTGTAGACAGAGCAGGCCGAGCGTCCCCTCAGACTCTTCTCGAACCAGCAGATCAATCACGGCAACATGTCAGTCAGCCAGCGAGGAAGAAGTGCCCCCTTCCTTCCAGGAGGTGGAGACCCTGACTCCGCCCCTGATGGCTGTGCAACCTGGGACGGCTGCTTAACTTCTCTGATGGTCCAGGAGGCCTGAAAAAGGAGACCAGCCCTTCAGGAGGGCTGGGTGAGCTGGAGGCTGTAAGACTCTTGGCTCCATTTGGCCCACAGCAAGTCTTAATACATGGTAATTTTTGTTCTAAAGACTCCTGAGAATTATTTTACTTAATTTCCTCATGTTCAAAACACAAAGGATAAGAAACTGTTTTGAACTCTTTGTACATATAAGGGAAACAAGCTCATTTTATTGCTTCTTAAATCACATTCATTCTCTTCTTAAAATCATCCTGTTCTTTACACATCTACCATTCACTGTCTAGAATTATAGGAACATTGAAAGTTTAGTTTTTTTCTTTAATTTGTTAAGGATAAAATTAAGGCACATTTACCACAGGAAAATGGGAAACAGTGGAAAACACAGAAGCAGGGAAAGTGTCGCCGGAGGAAGGACCGCACGTTGGGCACGGTTCCTTTTCAGTCTTGTATTCTGCCGCTGCCACGGTCGCTCGCCTGCCCGTCTCCACAAGCCCCACCTGTGATGGACAGCTATGTACGGTCCCAGCACACGGGCTGTCCCAGCACTGTCTCTCTCTCTCAAAAATAAATAAACATTTAAAAAAAAGGAAGCAGATATGGAAGATCACTACAGGCGGGAAGCATGACCTTTCTAATGCAAAAGTCAATGCATTAAACCCTGAAGGAAATTCTGCCTCACAACACAAAAACTAAAAATAAAATTCAACCGACGTCAAGTGGTGCCGCTGGGAGCTCCTTTTTAAAGGCTTTCTGGGTAGGAAAGCCCCTTTCTGGTGATTCAACAAGCTAACGAACAAATAGGGGCAGTCACAATAGTTAGCACTAGGTGTTTGTCTGCTATTAGGGGGAGCCAGGGCTCTGACCTCCTGTGAGCTGCTTGGACCCACTCCCCACCCTGCCTGGCCCACCAGGACATCAGCTGCCCGAGGGTGAGGGCAGGGTCTCCTTCTAGTCTCAGCTGGGCCCCCAGTGCCCAGAACCGTGCTGAACACAGAGTGTGTCTCAGCAAGCAGTTGCAGGGCCTCCAATTCCGGCCAATGTGCAAGTGACAGGAACCGAATTTGCTTCCCTCAAGCAACAACAACAGTAACGGGAAAAGCAAGACTATGGTTCCCAAGACACTAGCCACCAGGCAGAAGAGAGATGGGCAGGACAGCCCTGATTGCCTGGCTCGCGGCCCAGAGCAACCGTTCAGGGCCCAGCCCAGAGGGAGGGCCCCCAGGCGGGACCCAGCAGACTCCCCAGTGAAGAGCAGAGCTGAGAGTCCAGAGGACTGGGACAGTAGAAGAAGAGGCCCTGAGCCAGAGGACAGAGAGCTGCCCAGGGAAAACCATGCGGATCCGGGAGGGCCCTGCGAGGACACATGCCCGCGAGACCAGCAAGGAGGCAACGCATGCAGTGGAGGCAGCGGTGGCCAGAGCTCAGTTCTGTTCATGGGGCAGAAGGCAGAGCACCCAGAAGTGTCGCAGCTGTGGTGATGAGGGTGGTTGGCACCAGATTAAACTCAGCTCTGACCCCCCTAACTTTTTTTTTTAATGTTTATTTATTTTTGAGAGAGAGAGAGAGACAGAGCATGAGCAGGGAAGGAGCAGAGAGAGAGGGAGACACAGAACCTGAAACAGGCTCCAGGCTCTGAGCTGTCAGCACAGAGCCCAACGCGGGGCTCGAACTCACAAACCGCAAGATCATGACCTGAGCCAAAGCCAGACGCTCAACTGACTGAGCCACCCAGGTGCAACCCCCCCCCCCACTCCGCCAACATCTTTAAAAAATAGGATCCAAAAGGATCAGACGGTTTCTGAGTAACCAAACCGCATTACAAAACAAAGCTCAAAAAGACTGGTAGGAATACAAAATTATTCAGCTCCCAGAAAGGCG